ATCGGCATCGGCTGTGAGGAGGGTCTCGGCTGAGATTCTTTTCCTCCAAAGCTCTCTCTTTTCTCTCAATGTGCTCTCAATTCTCAATTTGGCAACTTTTTCAATTGTGAGGCATAATGTCTCTATATAATGCAAACCTAGGTTAATTAGCCGGGCTATATATAGGCTTTATTAAGATAACGGGCTTTAATAACTTAAGGTTTTTTTTTCAATTAAGCTCTAATGGGCTGAAGTCTTGTTCAATCAAGCTCAATGAGACCTTCTTCTCTTAAGGAATTTCAGCCAAGGGGTTCTTGTGGACTTGCCTAAGTTCAATTTCACTCGTGGGCTCAATTAAGCTTGAAACCTTTAATAGATTCCGACTATAATGGGCTCAATCTATCTTAATTAAAGCTCATGACCATGTCCATTTAACTTACAATTTTGGCCGCCTTGCCTCCATGCCTTGGTCTAAGTTTGCCTCCCTCTTCGTGGGCTCAATTCGTTCAATGAAGCTCGAAACCATCCGTCGCATGTTCGATTAAATGAATTTAAATGAAATATGCTCCAAATGACTATATGCAATTTAATTTCAATTTGCTAGGGGCTGGGATTGATCCCTAAATTTCTATACAATGAATTACTAAATGAGATACCAAAATTAGGTGTCAACAGTCACAATTCCAACAGACAACATCATCAGTCCTAAACTGACTACGTCTATTCATTTTTATACTACTCCAACTAACATGTGTTAAAAAAAAAAAAAAACTAACATGAGTGTTTAGTTCTATAACCTATCGATTAAATGGCAAATTCTCATTGACAGACAAGGCATAATCGGCACTATTCAAATTTTCAGTTACACCTACAACATTATCTGTAGACTCAACTCTAATTCCCTTATCATTTTCATTTTTCAACTTAAGGCAATTTATTCTAAAATACCCCCTCTTACCACAACTCTAACAGATAACATCACAATTCTAGACAGACTACGTTTTTTCATTTTTATATAACTCTTGCTAACACAAATATTAGTTCTTCCTCTACTTTCATCTACTAAAGTAGTAGGTATAGATTCACTAGATTCTTTTCTATGGATGTCTTTACTCAGGATCAAATCGCGAACTCATTAAACTTAAGCTTCCTAACTAAGAGGAATTATTAATAATAGTAATAGTAGTATTCCAATTATCAGGTAATAAGGAAAATAGAATCAAATGAAAGAAGGCAAGGAAATTAATCTTATTGAAAATTGAAAAAATAAAGGGAGATGAAATCAAGGCGAGGAAATCAAAGATGGCAATGACTTGTTTTAAAAGGTTAAGCCTTTAGAACTTCTAAGTTCAAATTTTCTTAAAGTCTCTATTTATTTTTCATTGTAACTGATTTCCACACACCAATTTTAGTGGAGTCTTGGCTACAATTATGCCTGAGAGAGTGCTTGTACATTATATGTATCTGTGGTTGCTACTTGTCAGTTTGATTAGTCTAATGGGTGGGCAATCAATAATGAAGAGGTTTTGAGTGTTAAGAAAAAAAAAAACAAATGAGATTGATTAATTGGTCATTGTTTATGAATAGAATATGAATTGACCTAGAAAAAGACTTTCTGGTCTTTGTTTAATCCCCAAATTTCCAAGTTCCGACTGTTGCCACGTTATTAATCCTTGATGAACCACCACGCCGAGGACAACCTATGACTTCAGCCCCTCCATACGTATGCTGAATTTCTGTGCGAGATTTGAGGACAATTAATCTCAATTTTACTCTTAGGTGCAAATTAAGCTGCATACGTTGCTAAAATTTAACTACCCTTATTGAATTTTAAAAGAAAAAAGGGGAGTAGAAGATAGAGCGTAAGTATAAAAAAGTTAAGACTTCTCACAATTTCAACCAATTTCTTTTGCCAAACATGTTTAACTCTACAAACGTTGTAAAAATAAAGAGAGATGAAATCAAGGAGAGAAAATTAAGAGGGCAGCAATGTGTTTTAAAAGTTTAAGTCATTAGACATTCTAAATGTTCAAACTTTCGTGAACTCTTTATTTATTTTTCATTTGTAACTAATTTTGACACCCCAATTTTAGGTCGAAGCTTGGCTGCTATTATACCTAATATAGTTTCTAAGGTTGCTAGTATGCTTGGTACGATGGATGAACAGTTAATAACGAAGAGCTAAGCAATTTGACTTTGACCATTAAGAAAAAAGAGAAATGCAAAGGAGATTAATTTTTTTTATCCTACTCTAACTCTCAACTCACACTTAAACTTCTGTCTTGTCTCTTTGCAGAGCATGGAAGTCGAAATCCACATCCGAAATTTAAACATCATCACCCCTAACCCCCTTAAGAAGGTGGAGAATCGAACTCTCTACGTCCCATTCCCAAATAGGAAGGGTTTTACAAATAGAATATTAATAGACCTTGAACAAGACTTTATGGTCTTTGTTTGTTACAAGTTTCGAAGTTCTAAATGCTGCCGTGTTATTGGGTTTCCATGAGCCACCATGACAAGAACAATCTATTTCTTGAGCCACTTCATACATATATTGAAAATTCTGTGTGAGATCTGAGGACAATTAATGTCAACTAACTCCTAGGAGCAAATTAAGCTAAATACTCTAATTGAATTAAAAAAAAAAACAAAGGAGTAGAAATAAAGTATAAAAATGTTAAGACTTCTCGCATTTTTAACTAATTTCTTTGCCGAACATCTTTATCTTATGAAGAGAGATGATATCGAGGAGAGTAGATTCAAGAGAGTAATGGTTTGTTTTAAAATTTTAAGCCTTTAAATCTTCTATTGTTTAATTTTTCAGCTCTTTATTTATTTATCAATTTTAACTAATTTCCACACTCCAATTTTATGTTGAATCTCGGCTGCTTTTACACCTGAGAGATTGCTTGCATATTAAATATATCTAAGGTTGCTAGTTTAATTACCATGATGGATGAACAATTAATAATGGACAGCGAAGCAATTTGACTTTAAGCGTCAAGAAAGAAGACAAAATACAAATGAGATTGATTGATTGGTTATTATTTTATGAATAGAGTGTGAATTGATCTAAAAAAAAAAAAGACTTTCTGGTCTTTGTTTATTCCAAGATTCCAAATTTCAGTCGTTGTCGCGTTGTTAAGCTTCCGGGAAGCACCATCACGACGAGGACAAATTATATCTTGACCCACTTGGTACATATGTTGAAAAGTTTCTGCGAAATTCGATGACAACTAAGAGACGATTATCTTTTGTTAGTATTATTGCTAGCAAAATCGGATACCCACAAGTTGTGCGCGCGAAAAGTTAACATTTAAGACATTTTACAAAATCTTAATCGCATGAAATATTATAATTATTAGTCAATAGAACCAAAATTTTAGAATAATCGAAGCAATTGCACATATATATATGGAAAGAGAAAAATATCTCGATATTTTAATTAGGTCGTTTAATACACTAAAATGATTCGAACTTTAAAATTGACATATGTTAGAGACGAGATAAATTTCTTTTTTTTTGTCAGAAAATTTATTAATCTACAGATTGTCCATTAATAGAATATCTACAAAATAACTCATGGTGTATATGTTTCGAAGAGAAAAAATTATGGTCCAGTAAAAATAAGATGTCTTTTGTACTTTATATTCTAAAGACATAATTGACTCCAGTATAAGTGTTTGATTGCAGCAAATTGTCCATTCATTCAATTGAGCCACAGCCTCTTCTGTGATGAAGTTCAAACAATTGGCAAAATGGGGATGTAACATAGGGATTTGCGGGTCTCCCTCCTCTCCTTCACCAATTTCTCCTCTAGACTCGAATTCATTAGATAGGATGCTATCGCAATTTGATATAGACTTCACGTGTGGACCCACGAGTTCAACAGTTGTGATTCACTTGATCCATTTGACCTGAATTTATATAAGTATTCCTCTCTCCTTACAAAACGAAGCATGTTTTTCCGTTGTTGAGTATAATTAATTTTGGCATGTCTTAGTCTTGGACCTCTAAATACGCTTCACCTATGTATCTCAAGCTAGTGAGTTACTCTTGCCTATAAAATCTATTCTTAATTCATCACTTAGGAGAAAAAGTACAATTAATTTGAGTTCGAAGTTTACCTACCTAAAATGGATTTGAAGGGGTCATTTCCTAGCAAGGTGAGGGGAGTTTGTTGCTCTCGTCTACAACAATTCCTTCTAGTTCTTTTCTCACCAAATTAAGCTGAACAAAACTCCAATCCATGTCCTTATACATGCCACGTACATGATAATTACTTGGGTGGACAAGTCATCTCTACAAGATAAATAATCTTTCAAAGTACCGTAGCAGTTATTATGATGTAAAATCAATTTTATGTGAACATATTGGATATGTAAATGTCAAATTGAAATAATTAAATTATGTGGGACAATTTCTTTTGTTCTTTTTATTTGGTTTATCCCAATCCCCAATTCATCCTCGAATTAATAAATCACACTACTAATGAAGTGTGCTTAGTTAGTGGAATTGGGATTAGACATTATCTTTTCAACCCTTTTCTTCTTCAAGTCTACACATGTGGGGCCAAACATTCAAAGCCATCAAAGAATGACCCCACGCCTTTCCTGTGCAGCAGTCATCATGTCATATTAGCTGTATCACACACGTTCATCTTTCTATTCAGTTCAGCTCGTTCTATATACTTAATAGAATCTGTCAAGTGAGTTTTGATTTCTTTCGGATTCTAATCATCGTGCCATCCTTTGACGCTATTCTTAAGGGGAGTGAGGCATTAGCACCGATTGCTGCTTGCAAAATGGCTCTGATATTTCACTACCAAACGTTAACAATTAAATTATTCTGTGTGATGTAAACACGGGAGAGGTGGCGTGTTCGATTCCGTATGGTCAGATAAATAGCCAGTCCAATAATTGTATTTTGTATGGGTAGAGGTGGGGCATGTTGCCTGTCACCCTTTCAGCTGATTGATAGGATGACGAAATCGAAGTTAAGTAGTAAAGGCGAGAAGAAGAAAAAGCTCGTTTTGAACTAGACATTACAATCTCTCCTCTCTTTTTTTGTTTTTTGCGCGGAGAAAGCATCGATTGCAAGATCAAAAACCCGAGAGAGGCAACGGCAAAGAGACAGACCAATTCAGACCAATTCTTCACAAGAAATGTTTGGTGTTGTCAAGAAGCTCGTTAGTGGGATTTTAATCACTCCCAAGCTCAGAGAAGCTGTGGAATCTGAACAGCCGAAGCAACCGGCCTCCAGTGCATCCACAGAACAAATGGATGACCACCACCACCACCAACAACAACAACAGCCTGAGGACCACCAGGTTGACAAGTTACAGCGAGAACCATCCAAGGGCAAAAAGGAAGCCGAAGATAAGCCGGAGCGACCCAAGTCCGAGTGGGTCGTCTCCATCAAAGAGCTCGAGCAACTCTGCCGGGAAGACGTGGAGAGCCCGGGGCCGACCCCCTCCATTTGTCGGATCCCGCACTATCTCAAGGACGGCGAGGACAATGCCTGGGTCCCCCAGATCGTCTCCCTGGGGCCGTACCACCACGGTAAGAAGCACCTCCGCCATATGGAGCAGCACAAGGTGCGCTGCCTCCACCGCATCCTCTGGCGGGCCCGTCACGAGAAAAAAATCTTTCTAGACTCGGTGAGGGAGGTCGAAGGGAGAGCTCGCACCTGCTACGAGGGGGAGATACCCATGAGCAGCGAGGAGTTCGTGGAGATGATGGTTCTAGATGGTTGCTTTGTGATCGAGCTATTCCTGGGATTCATCTTCGGGTTCGAAAAACTAGGCCACCCTCGCAATGACTCCGTCTTCTCAGTGCGGAGATCGATGCACAAGATCCAGGGGGACATGATCATGCTCGAGAATCAGATCCCGCTCTTCATGCTCGACCGGCTTCTCGGCCTTCAGCTCGGCGATCCCAACCAGAAGGGGCTCGCGGCCAAGCTGGCGCTCCGGTTCTTCAAACCTCGCCAGCCGACAGACGATCCCCAAACCCTGCTTAGCGGGAACGGAATGGAGTTCGACCAGTTATCCGACCAGTGCGAGCTCCATTGCCTCGAAGTGCTCCGGTGGAGCCTCCTCCACTCAGGCCCGAAGCGGGTGGAGAACCAGGGGCCATCGCAGAGGCGGCAACAGCTCATCCACTGCGCGATGGAGCTCTGGGAAGCTGGGATTGAGTTCAAAAAGAGGAAGACGGACAAGTTCTGGGACATCCAGTTCAAGAACGGGATCCTCTATATCCCCCAGCTTGTTATCCACGATGGGACGAGGTCGCTCTTCCTCAACTTGATAGCCTTCGAGCAGTGTCACTTCGATTGCAGCAACCACATCACCGCGTACGTAATCTTCATGGACAACCTGATCAACTCCCCCGAGGACGTCGGGCGCCTCCACTCCTGCGGGATCATCGAGCACTGGCTTGGGAGCAACGCCGAGGTCGCTAACCTCTTCAACCGGCTTTGCCAGGAGGTGGCCTTCGACATCAAAGACAGCTATCTCTACGGACTGTCTGTGGAGGTGAACGAATACTACAGCAACAAGTGGAATGGTTGGATAGCCAGTCTCAAGCACAAGTACTTCAGCAATCCCTGGTCAATCATTTCCGTCATTGCTGCTTCCATTTTGCTGGTGCTTACTTTCACACAGACCTTCTATGGAGTCTATGCCTACTACAGGCCTGCTTCTTAATTTCTTCTATAGTAGAAATCATCTGATGAGCGATTTAGGAGTGATAAAATTCTGGTGAAAATCTGGGAATTAGGATTATGGCGAATTGACTATTAGCAGCCTATTCGCAGATGAATGCTCACGATGTGAGGGTCTCATCTCCTATTAAAAAGAAAAAAAAGTGTGGTGGTCAAACTCAGACCGCATGAAGTATATTTGTCGCGCAATTTTGATTTCAGTATGGCAATATATTTCCCGAAAACCGTCCTATAATCTCTTTTATGTCAAACTATAACTTTCCACTCATGAATCGATGTGATATCAGGGCTTGGACCGGCAGATGTAAAATGATTTTGGCCAGTCTTTCATTTGCGCCGCATACCCATAAGTCTAAGGGAGGCGGATATGCTGCCCGGCGGAAACAAGAACTCCCTATTAATTGGCTCTCTTACCCCCCCCAAAACCTATCCAACTCCCTATTAATTGGCTCTCTTACCCTCCAAAACCTGTGTTGGATATTTTAATTTCGGATGTTTCAACCTTTTTATTTCTATTGAATGTTTAAATTACATAAGGAATCTAACGTTTTCGATGAAACAGAGCTAAAGTTTTAAAGCATTCTTTTAAGAGGAGATAAAAAAGGCTGTGAAATTAAGAAAAAGACAACTCATCCAAAAAAAAAGAAGAGTAAAGTTTGCCTTTCTGCTAGGCCAAAAAGAAGCTCTAAGCTTATCCTTTTTCTTGGCGATAACCTATGCGAACTCCTTTATGTGACAAAGTTCAGACAATTAGCAAAAAGGCGAGGGTTTCGGAGTTTGGACGACGACCTCCTCTCCTTCGCGGATTTCTTCTTCGAATCCGCCTATATTACACGGAGTTAATCACAATTATTAATTTTATAGAGTACACATAGATTCCACATGTTGACCCCATGAGATCGACCACTGTGTTTTAGTTGATCCATTCCTTATCTAGACAAATGTATCCCTCTCTTCTTATCAAAAGAAGCATTTTCCAGGGTCATCAAATACAATCAATTTTTTCGACCAAAGAAAAGTACAATCACTTTACTCACCAAAAAAAAGTACAATTAATTTGGCCTTAAACATCCACATACATTGCCTTTTGATCGATTTGGAAAAGTTTTTAAGCATTTCGTAAATTGTTGACAAACATTACTTTCAGTATAAAAGCAGATGAATTTACAAGTAGACTCCTTTTTTCTGTGACATGCAACATAAGAAGTCATTGGTCACAAAAACATGAACCTGATAAACAGCGCACAAGTTTTAGAATAACTGCAAGTCTGGCCCAGATAAACACAATAAAAAGGTCGAAGGTCTCCTCTACTCTCGTGTAAGAGGAGCAACGTCCACATCTCGTCCGGGTCAATGGTGGGAGTATGACTCCATCAGTTGAGTGAGTTGGGTCTTGAACTCCTTCTCCAACTCCACTTCCTCATCCCAATGCCTCTTCTTCATAGCCACCTGCTTGTCTTCATGCTCTTTCTCCAGCATCTCCCTTTTAGCCACGAACTCGTCCATTTCCTTTTCCTGAAGCTGTATGAACTCAGCAATTTCCTCCATCCTGAAACAAAACCGAAATCAGTCCGCAATTATTGAGGGGTGAAAAGAAATGGAAACATCACAGTAAAGCTTTTCAAGTACCCCCTCTCATTATCTTCAGCACTTGAGGGATTAGCATTTGATTGCTTCACTCGCTCCCTCTTCTCCTGTTGTTCCCTCTCAAAGTCCTCTTCCTTCGCATTTAATTCATCATGGATGACCTTCATTTGCTCTTTGAAGAACTGCTCCTGATAATCCATCTGTTGGAAGCACATCGCAAGAGTTAGTGGACATAAAAATACAACATGGGGGGAAGCAGGAATTCTTTATTCATTCGTGATGAACATTCTACGAAGACATTCAAATATTCCACCAAACACAATGAGCATACAGCATGGACCAAATTCAGCCTTTCAAAAAGAAATGAGCCCGAGAGTGACAATTAGCTTAAACTTTCAATATGATAAAGATACAGGGGCAAAAAGCTTGCAAGTGGGAGTATGCTGCTTGTCGCAATTTCAAAAAACAAATTTGAAATGAAAAAGTTTTGTTTCTCCAGGTCAATTGACTTCGTCCGCAAATGAAACGACAACAGATATACAAGCACATGGAAGTGATGTTTAGCTCTAGAAAAAGATTTCTCAAACTTATTTTTACTGAGATATGAATCCATACTTCCTCCTTGTTCTGTTCATGTTGCATCTTTGTTCTGTGCCTGACAATACGGTTCTCCTCCATGGTCTTCCGCAGCTTTTCACTCACGATGTCAAATGATTTCTCGAGTGCCTTTGAGTGCATTCGCTCCTGAACAACCCTGTTCTTAAGCCATATGAGTAGCTGATTGTCTTCTGTCATCTGATTAACTTGGTTGACCACCATCTCCTTGAAGGATCTCATCTCAAATTTCAGCTTAGATTTACCTGACCACAAAAATATTTTGAAACCAAAGGGTCAAAACAGAAAAAGAGAAAAGAAACTGCACAGGAACATACAGATTCAATATATAAACAAACACACATGTAGCCACACAACCCCACACACATGCAGAGAGAGAGAGAGAGAGAGAGAGAGAGAGAGAGAGAGAGAGAGAGACCTTGTGAATGCCTGTTAAAAATGTATACGTCCTCTTTCATTGCCATATATCCATAAAGCTGACGTTTTCCCCCGGGATGAAATAAGGCACCTCGGCGATCCCAAGCATTTCTGCTTGTTCCTTGGTCTGCAAAGTGCTTGTGCAGACGTTCAGCCTCGTAAAAGCCCCTTGGAGAGCTCTCAAAAATGAGAATGCTCATGCCACGATGACCCTGAGGACCGTAGGCATGACGAGCTTTTACAGCTTGATATGAACTGAAGTAGTCCAGAAGTTCTTGGCTTCCCATACCAATCCACTGAAATAGAAGACAATGCCGAGTTCAATTGTACTCTAAATAAACATATGCGATACATTTTCTACCAAATCACAACGCAGTTGCTTGTGCTTTGCTGACCAAAATTTTGAGATAGAAAGTGACATGTCATCAAAGAAATGAATAGAAAACACCAGTCTTTCCACTATTGTCAATGCAGAGTGTCGTCAGGAGAGAAGACAACTTTACCTTGTCACTTTCATCCTTTTCCAGGATTGTGTTCATGATGACAACCATTGGAGGCCACACTATGTCATAGTCTTTCTCCTCAACATTCAACCCTCTCCATTTACCAAATACTTCGCCAGCAGGGACCACTGAAGCGCCTCTCCTCATCAACTCCTCATCCAAGAGTTCTGCGAGCTCCCGATGAAGCATAACCCTGTTTGCTCCTTTTGTTTTTGCATGTGCCATCAGAGGCTGCAGACCTCGATACCAGTCAATAGCCCCAGGACCCCCACGGCAAGCAGGACAGTGCCACTGCCTTCCAGGTTCATTTATCTCGTCAACAGTCAACGAATCCATTATCTCAAAAAATTTCTTAAACCACCTATTGTTCTTCCGCGTTCCATGGCTCTTTTGACTTGCATCGGAATCAAATTCATCACTCATCAAATCATCATCGGAATCATCCATCATATCAATGTCGTCATCATCCACGTCAGCATTGTCAGAATCATGATCTTCGTCGGCCTCGCTGTTCTCACTAGCAACATCATTTGAGGACAAGTTATTATTAATTTGGTCATCCTCTTGGAACCTAGCCTTCGCCAAACCAGCTCTGTCTTGCCAATTCCATCCATTCTCAAGAGGTGCACTAATCACAGTTTGTGGCGCCACATATTGCGGAGACCTCATGCTTCCTCTACCAGCTGGTTTCCTGAAATCAGCAGTTTGTGGGAACCAGGAATTGCTGCCAGCTGCCCTCCCCAATCCACTATTAGTCTGCATAACCAGCTTCTGACCCACATCTTGCTGCCCCCATGCTTTAGAATTAGAATTCTGAGGAGGCCAGGGTTTCCCGGAGCTGCTTCCAGCTTTGGTTTTGGACTTCCTAGCATATACTTCCCACTCACCACCATCATCTGGTGCAGAATCCAATCGAACTTCTCCCACTCCACGACTCAAGTGCTCAACATCTGATGTCTCTTTACCCTCAGAAGTTGGATGACTATTGTTACCAGAACTAGAAGAACCCGGGCTCCCTCTCCTGGAATTCATCTTTGTACGCAAACCTTAGCTGGATTACATATTTAGTTAGAACTTAAAGAGAAGAATCGATATAAAAGTAGACAATAAATATGATAACCATGCGACAAAAAAGAAAGAGATAGGCCCCTTTCTGGTTTTTGCCCCTTCTTACTCATCGTATCATGATAACAGTAAAATAAATGAACTATACTGTGGCTTATATGAAAATGTTTAGAAATTTGAACGAAGTTGTCAGAGATGCATACTTATAGGATTAACAATATGGCAAGTTAAAATAAGTACACAAAAAGAATGAAAATTAAACAAGAAAAAGTCAGTTTTATACGCTAAAAAAGAATTAATGTTCACATGACATCAATGTTGTATAGAAATGATGAGGGGCGTACATGTAAGAGAGTAGAAAAAAATGTCTACGGGTCTCCAACAACATCCAGATTTGGACTGATTTGAGGAGATTAGAGGAAGCAAGGAAACTTGGGACTCTAATCCCTCCTCCATATCCCTTCATCTCAATTCCTCCTACCAATCAAGAAATACTTCTTCTTAACCTTTTTCTCTTCCTCTCTAGACCCTCCAAATCACCCCCATCCAAACTTGAAAAGGAAAAGTTACTTTGAAAAGTTTCCCCCAGAGGTCCACCGTTTTCTTTTTCTCTCTTTTGTCTCAAAGTCTTACTGCAAAACCATACTCAAAACAGCCCGTATTTTCCCACTCAGCTCCGAAACACACGCAGAATAACCAAATATGTCCACGCAAGGAGAGAGAGAGTGAATAATAACCAAAAAGAATCTCGAAATCGACAAGGAAACCTATACATTTCGATCGATACACAGATGGCGAGACGATTAGAGAAGCAAGAATAGGCAGAAACCCCGCAGAACCGATCAATGCACCTCCGATTCCGAAAAAAACCAACCCCAAAGCGCGACCGGTCCCAAGAGCGAGCATGGTCGAAAGGCACAAGCAAAAAGGCGGCTTCGTGAGCCGATGTTAATACCAGAGCAACGATGAACTAAAACCAAGAAGAAGGAAAAAACAGCGCAGCCATTCAAACCCAACAAGGACGTACAGAGAGGGGAGCGACCAATGCAGGGCCCGTAGTAATAATGGATGCAACAAGAGCAGCGGAAACGCACATGAACAAGCACAGGCGGATAGAGAGAGAGAGAGAGAGTACCTGAAGATCGGAGGAGATGACCGAGGGGGGGAAGCGGACCGCGCCGGCGAGAGGAGCGGAAGGCGGAGAGTGGAGGACTGAAGACTGAGAGAGAGTGTGAATAGAGATCGTGCGAGAAGCGTGAAATGAGAGAGGGAAGGCAAAGCGAGGAATATAGGAGGACGACGACCACCTTTGGAGGTGTTGCATGCATAGTGCTGCGGACCTCAAAAGTGCCATTCAATTCGGCCTAATAATCTGTCCTTTTGCCCCCCTTTTTCTTTTTCTTTTTTGGTCTTCGGAACTTTTGCAAAAGATTATTCTAATTTTGCACTTGGAAGTTCGAACTCCTTGTTGAGGGGTTTACTTCCAAACCAAGGAAAATCTATCGTGCCCCCCACCACTGAAAATCACATATTATAAATATAATATGTATATATAGTGATCACCTTCCTTTGGAAGTTCTTTGCCATGCACAATTAGGTAATTTTATAAGCGCGAAGGTTCGATCTTCATGTACAAATCTTCCAACGCGAAATTAATCTTTGACTCCGTTCGTTTCACGGAAAATAACTTCCAGAAAAAAAAATTCGGATTTTCTGACATTTGTTCATGGAAAATAAATTATTCATGGAAAATATTTTCCTTCAATGGAAAAAAAATTCTTTCAAAAGTGAGGAAAATATTTTCCTCTTTTCTCTTTTTGAAAAGAAGAAAACATTTTCCCTCCTCCTCTTTCAACATTCATTTTAATTATTTTAATTTTTTATTCATTTTAATTTTTAATAATATTTTTTCTTTTTTTTTCTTTTACCTTCTTCTCCGGCTGATTACTGACCACGGTGAAGGCCGGTGACCAGCCACAAGTGAGCTTGAGCATCGCCAGAGGGCGGCGGGGCTTGAGCTCGCTCGCCGACCTCTAACAAGGTCTCAAGCCTCGCCAATCTCTGGCGACGCTCGAGCCTCGCCAATCTGGCGAGGCCCAAGCCTCGCTGGCCTCTAGCGGCACTCGAGCGTCTCCAATCTGGCAAGCTCAAGCGTTGCCAGAGGGCGGCGACTGGTCGAAAAAGAAAGTAAAGAAAATAAAAAAGATAATGACAAAATCGATTTAAAAAAATAAAAAAATTATTAAAAGTTATGTATGGAGGAAAATTTGATTTGATTTTTCATACCAAACAGTGAAAAATATTTTTCGGATTTTTTTTTCAAATTTCAGCCGAATATTGGAAAATTATGCCATTTTTCAGAAAACATTATATTTTTCGCGAAATGAACGGCCTTAATTCCTAAAATCTCTTTTGTCATTGAAATCCAAGAAATCCTCATTTTGGTTGCTCGCGTGATTCAAATACCCAAAATTGGTTGGGAGTCGCATGCTCTATTTTTTCAGCGTGATCTCAATTCAATCTTAATATGAAAGTTTACTACTATTCGAGTTTCCACAGACGTTCTTTCAAGGCTTGAATAGCTTCGGTTTTGTGAAGACCATGCAAGTCCAATGTCCATATAACGTTGTTGCTGTTCCTGATACTTAGGATGTCCTTGGCTGCACTGTCATTTGAGTCTTTCAGCAACCAACCATTCCTCCCGAGCCTTTAGAGAGTGATGCTGTGCAGAAGAATGATCACCTCTTAGAAAGGCATTTTGTGCAGCCCCTGAATGCTGAGATGCTGATCTACGTGAAGTAAAGATTTCGCCAAATCAGGATTACTCCAGCAAACGTACAGGACTCCACAGCATTCTGTTAGAGAGGCAACACCATGACTCCCGAATACTTGCATTCTTGAGGTGTTAAAGCAGAAGGATCATAGAACTGTCAGAGAGGTCAATTGTCGCAACAGCTCAGCAGTTTGCCGCAGTTCAGTACCCAATATAGCTTAGTGAACTCGACTACCGATGCGCAGAATCTATTTCCATAAACAAATCACATAAATCATAAAAAAGCTATACATGCCACTAAAATCATGACAAGAAAATGAACCACTACAAGATTACATGTACAAAGTTTTGCAACAGAACCTTCTCTTTTGGAGAGATCACGGAAGTCCTCCTACATTAGGCATTCCATGGCAGGCAAGACAAAGAGACTGTACCAGTCAGATCCCCGTTTTGCTTTTATCAACTGCTATTGTAATTCTTCTCAGGCTCTAATATTCTTTCCAGGAGGGAACATCCCTTTCAGAATGGATGATTGAACCATCTTTCCTGGAGTACTAACTCCACAAGCAGAGATATGATGTGAAAATATGTCAACCACCAATAGAGTTCCATGCCAATTAGTGTGACAAATGTTGGATGCCAAGATACCAAGTTTAAGTCTGACAAAATACTTGTAAGTTGAAGACAACGGTTAATTAATTGAGTATAAGAGAATATGCACAAAGTAAAGAAAGTAGAGTAAAATGTACAAAGAATGAGGATTCAAGTAGGGTGGTACTGGTACCTCAAAACGCACTTTGCATCCTCCTGAATCTCAACTCAACATCCTCGTCCTCGTCCTCCTCCCACTCCAGCTCAAGAGGCAAAGACTTCAAATGGGCCAAAATAGACCTTGTTCCGGTGGAATCATCATAAGTTTTTTCCCCCCAAAGATTTTTCATCAATCATATATTTGTTGACACTGTTAAAGTCGTTGCTAAGAGTGTCAGTGCCATCAGAGAAGTCCACATTCTTCCCTGAAGAAAAATCTCTGCTTCTCATTAACTCATCATGGGAAGAATCCTGAGAAGAAGAGTTTTGTTTTGCCCTCTGCATTCCTTATCTCCTTCGAAGAGCCCAGCACTTAGCATACCTTCCAGCAAAGTCGAGGCCTATACAAAATCATTGTCGAGAGCTTCAACAATATCCAAAATCAACTCGTTCTCAGCCCAAGAATGAAGTTCCTTGAGCTTCCCTACTGGTACACGGTACATTACTGGAGTCAACAGAAAGCAGTTGTTGCTCTTCATTTCCATTGTGTGCCACACCTGGAAAATCCACAGAAGACCGGAGAACTGCCGAGGAAGGCTCATTGATATTAGTGGGAAATGATCATGTTCGATTTCAGATTCAAGAGCATGTCCTTGTCGATGCTTTAGACCAAAGGTAGCCCAACCAGTAGATTTGCCCCTGCTGTGGGAAGTCTCCTGCTGAGAGCTGGTAGATAAATTCATCCCGAGTGGCGCGCACTACCGCATAGCAATAATAAGAGGGACATGTTTGTCATTTTAAGGTAGGGCATTTTGGTCATTTTACAAGAGACATATAAAACGAATCCGTTGCCTTCGTCATTCCACGGATCTCCCGCCCAAAAAAAAACCTTAAAAAAGTAAGACGCTCTCTTTTCTTGAAAATGACGGAGTCCTGGATTCTTCTGGGCGCCGCCGGCCTCTCATCTCACGACCTCTCTCTAGCTTCACCGCCACCGCCACCACCAGCCGCCAGCTCCATTGGTAGCCACCGCCTGCCTTCCATCTCCGATCACCGAAGACGCATGAAAAGCTCAAACCTGGATCCTCTGGATTTCTCTCCCGCCCGAGGCACATTTCCGTTGGTTCGAGTGTTCAGATGTCTCCGATCACACGGAAGGCACGTCAAATGTGGTCAGTGAATGTTGGTTTACTTGCTGGTTGTTTCCTCTAGAATAAATTTGGCTTAGTTTGGAAGTTACTTGCATGTGATAGATAGGTCTCCCTTTCAAACTAGACTTACCCTTTTATTTTAGCTCATGAGGGTTCTAAGCCACTTTCGCTTTTGGGAAACCAACAAATGTGGAAGTTGACTGCATACATTCAAAGTACATTGATGGAATCAACTAATCACTAACTTCATTTCAATCTTGAACATCAATATCTATGTCCATTCCAATGATCATCAATTCCGTAGCACTATATACACTTGCCATTTGAGCTTATCAAATGCAAAATTCAACCAAAAATAACCAAAAAAAAAACTCAAGAACAACAAAATCCTTCGTAAAAATATCAAGGACAACCACGGTTGATCCATGAAACCGATCTAGAACAACTCCATTTACTTCCTAACTTCATCGAGACCCTAATAGCTATCCCTCAATATCATAGAACATGAAATTACCTAGATACCAAAATTTTAAGGAATGTACGATGAATGTGAATTTAATTAGATATGCACTGCAGAATCACCTAACTTGGAGATATTTCTTGAATTTCTTCACGACGATAACTCATGCAGAGCCGGAATTTTCATTGCCTAGGACTGGTGCTTCAACCTTCGTGAGGCAAAAGCGAAGGTTGCCATCCACTCTAAATGACCATAGCTGGACGATACCATCCTTTTCGAGTCCGTTTGGCTTGTAAGGATGTGCGACCACATTCCACCGCTCGGTCAACATGTAAGAAAAAGTTTTGCTTCCGTAACTCCACTTCTTGAGTCGCAACCCGTGATGTACTTCGAGACAGGGATCGATGAGAGACACCTTAATGCCTTGCTTGCTGTCTAGAGTTCTGATCTCTTGGTCGCTCAAGAAACCTTGGAGTACCAGTGACTTCGGTATGGAGAGCCTACTTTGGCTTCGGTTCATGTCGGTGGCAGAGAGTTCCTTCTCCACCACAAGCCTCAAATCCCGACCACGCATCTCCAGTACTTGGTCCATGAAAATTGTCGGCAATTCACTTGGTCCGATTAGATTCGCGAGATTTTTCTTTTCAGTTTTCTTGGGTTTCTTGGAAACCCTATCCAATTTTTGGGTTTTGGTGGAATCGAATGCCCGTGGCCGCTTCTTGCGGTTCTCAGAGACGCCCCTCAAATTCTCTTGCTTGTTCTTGTTCTTGTGGACAACAACGCCAACGCCAACTGGATCAGAACTCAACTTCTGGGCGTGGAATGTCAGCCCTCGCGCTCGCGGGGATCTCTTTTTCCTTACGACCCATCTGACCCAGGTTGGCCAAAGAGTGGTGGTGACGATCGTATCCTTCTTCTCATCATCACGATCAAAGATGGCAGAAGCGAGACCGAGCTTTCCCTCGGAGATCAACGAAGCTACGTCCGCCAAGAGACTAAGAGATGAGAAATCGAGCTTCATCTCTTCCTCTCCCATTGAAAGACGATCTGTGAACTGAAAACAGACCATCACCACTGGAACACTTTGATGCCCCCACTATCGCCAGGAGACGAAGAGATGATGATCGTGGGTTTTCACAGAGAGAGAGAGAGAGAGAGAGAGAGAGAGAGAGAGAGAGAGAGAGAGCGACGGAGAGGGGGGGGCCAAGAGAGAGGGGGAAGAACAAAGAACGCGTGGGGATTTCAACGGGCAACGGGGAATACTTGAAGAAGAAGAAGAAGATGAGAGAATTCTGAGTGCAGGTGGTGTCTTCGGATCATCACAGAGAGAGATACGAGAGTTTCAAATTAGGAAATATTAGGGCAAGTAGCGACCGCGTGACCATTGTGACCGTTGTGACCGTTGTCAGCGTTGACCCTAGTTGGACGAGTGATATTTAATAAAATAATCTGTTGTCAACCTCCGAATTTGTCACCCAAAAAATTGTACTTGGTTTTAATTACACGCGTGCACAATTCTCCGGATTTTAATTACACGTGTACACGAATTGTTGTCAGCCCACTTCATCGGCTCCGATCATGTAGTTCGATGCCCCATTGGCAGTCTACATCTACACTTCCAAGAGGCTCGCGCATTCGGTGAAAGGGAGGGGAGGCTCGTTCACAAAAAAACAGAGCATGATTTTGGGAGGTGCCGAGACCTCATAAAAGATTCTCCCTGATTTCTCTCATTGACAGGTCTTCTTCTTCGTTCTCAATAGCCAGAAAGCCGCCGTCCCCGTCCATTTCCGCCGCTCCCACCGCCCGCGCCAAAACACCTCTGTTCTGCCCCGTTTTCTGGCCAGGAAGTTTGAAGTGCTTCATTCTCATTTGAAACTCCTTCGCCGGCACCGATCTTCATTGACAACGCGTCTAGGACCCCGATTCTCTGATCTTTTCAACAGCCGAGGCTAGAAATCCAATTCACCAAGGTAAATTCCATTCGCTCTGTTTCTATCGCTTACGCATGAAACAGAGGCCTTGAGCTCTATCTGACGTTTGTGAGAAAATCTGTTGTCACTGAAGCTCTTTTAATGTCTTGAACGTGTGTTGATGTTTTTGTGATGATCTGAAAGTGATCGTCGCTTTTTATTTGTGTATAAACTCCTCAATCGAAATGCATGTCACTCGTTTGAAGAAATGCTCGAACTAATTAAATCCGGACGTGCTTCTATTCAATCCTTGAACCGAAAATCACACTACCTCAATCCAACCTGTTCTTGACTCATTGAGGCTTCATTTATGGTTGCCTTTTTGTTGGAATATGATATTCATTTGTCATTGAATTGGTGTTATGATTCTCATCACCGGTATGCTCAACGTATGATTCATGTTTTCGGTAAAAAAATGAGTTTAGGTACCGAAAGAGTGCTAATTAGATTATTAGCATAACCAAATCCCCAAACCAAACCTTTAGTCCGCAGGAAGTGAAACGTCCTATTTGGCTCCTAGTTGGCCCCACATAAGTTAGTGGCGACTCCTATTCAAACCGAACCAACCAACGTTGCGCGCAGTAGAGTTTGAGAAAACCTACGCTAAGTGAGAGCAAACACCTCTATTAGAGGGACCACTCTTCCCGTTAGACAAATCTCTAAACCCCCTCCGAAACCCGCTCGAGAGGGTCGTGACAAAATTCACAAGCGAAAAGGTCTAATTTGCAACATGTTGACCAGTGGCGCCATGAACGCAATCAATTTCAAATTAATAAAGAGTCTCACAAAATCACACGTTAATTAAGTACCTAATATAGGATTAAGGGTCCATCTATGTAAATTTTAGGTAATAGCATTCTGTCTGTGTTGACTTTCACTTAACAAATAGGTGAAATTAATTGGGTTAAAAAGAGTTTCTTTATTTTTGGATGATTTGTTTTCCTTAACGGGGTTTAAAGAGAAGTTATCTAAAAGTGGGAATGTGGTAGAAAATATGAAGTTGGACAATCACGGTTTTTATGTGGTTTCGGAGTAACGATTTAGAACTAATAAGAAAGTATCGAAACAATTCGTGTTCTTCCTTCAATCCTAATGCTATATGTAATTGCTAAGAAAAATTAATAGAAACATTACGCCTTTCCTCTGTTCATTCAATTATAATCTAACTGCGTCCGCCTATCCAATCCATGTGAGATTGGATTGTTTCCTCTTGCAACGACGTTATCAACTTTGTTTAAGAAACACTTTAAAATTACGTAATACAATGACAAATGTAGGGATTATACCCAAAGAATGCGAAATGTTGCCTCTGTTCTTCGGCGATTTGGCCTAAGTTTGTACCTCTAAATTCTCAGTAATAGGGCCGTAGTTTGTTACTCCGGTGGATTATGGAGACATTCAAATTTAAACTTGAGGTCAGGAACCAACCAAAAAAAAAAGAGATTGTTAAGTTAGACAAATTTGTCCAAAGACGAGATTTCAATTTAGTTAGTCGAAACATAAATATAACAAGCTTTAAATCGATAGAGAAATCTAAACATCCCGATTTTACCAAATTTCAAAACAATGAACAGATCTATAGCACGCATGTCCGGCGATATGTGACATAGATAACAGTATAAACATTAATGGGCAATTTTACAAGTATCTTTCTTTTCATGATACTGTACGAGCAAAAGATATTATAGGTGTTGACAATAAATAATAAAGGGCACAAATTAAAAAACAATGAGTATTATGGTTCTTAGTGCTTCACTTTACAAATAGAAAGAAAAGGCTAAATTCTATTTCCATAGTACAGAAACTTACGTTAGCGATGTCAAAATATGGACTAATCATGTTGATATTCATGGTGAAACGTACTGCATGTAAATAAATTTAGATAAATATCCAAAACCGTCCTGAACTTTGGCAAGGTTTGCACAACAGCCCCGAACTTTGAGAAATTACCAAGATTCCGTTCGTTTCACGAAAAATAACTTTAAGGAAAACGTTTTTCCGATTTTCCGGCGTTTGGTTCACAGAAAATAAACTAGTCAAGAATTTCTTTCTTGCATGGTAAATAAGAAGAGAGCTGCAACTGATATAGTTGACATTTACATTCCTGAAAATGAGGATGAGGGTGAAAATGATAGAGACTAATCTAGAAGAAGATATGAAGAAGCCAACGACTAAAGAAAACCCAAAACCATCTAATATGACCCCAAATGTGATCAAATGTGATCATAAAGAAATACAATTTAAAGTAAGGATGTGATTTACCTCACGTGCTTAATTCAAGAAAGTTGTACAACTTTATGCAATCATAAACGGATTTAACATTGGATGAAAGAGGAGTGAAGCGAAAAAGATGGATGGTAGGTTTATGAGTGGCTGTGAATGGAGAGTTTTTGGTAGTTTGATGCATAGTAAAAAGACTTTCATCATCAAGACGAATGGAAATGAATATACTTGCCCTAGGAGCATGAGAAATAAGAATGCAATTTATGTATGGCTTGCGGAGGAGTTCTTGCTCTCAAATTAGAGCTAACATGAGGTATACAACATCACAAATGCAAGCGGATGCAATGGAGATTTGACATTGACACTAAATAAGAGGATTTGTTACAGAGCGATTGCTAGAACTATTGAGATAATCACACGTCCATTTATTGAGCAATACAAGTTGCTACACTCTTATAAGGCTGAGTTGATTCGATACAATTGAAATATTGCATTTGATCGGAAGATATAATACGTTCGAGAGATTCTACGTGGGCTTCAAAGAATTGAAAAAGGGTTTTCTAGCAGGCTCTAGGCGAGTAATTGGATTGGATGGATGCTTTATTAAGACTTCAATTAAAGGGATGTTGCTTTGTGCTACCGGCAGAGATGGAAACACCTGAATATTTCCAATTGCATGGGCTTTCGTTGAAGCTAAGCCTAAAAGAATTTGGACTTGATTCCTCAAGCTACTACTGAAAAACTTGAAAGCGGGGCAAGGTCCTAGCTGGACCTTCATGAGTGACCAACATAAGGTAAGATTGTGCACAAGCTTTACTAATAGAAGTATGTTGTTGTTAATAGACTAACTTATTTGCATGTCAAATAACGTGTTGCAAGGTCTTCTTAATGCAGTTTCTAAACTCTCTTCGCAAGTAGAGTAGAGGAATTGTGCTTGGCACATTTATGCTAACTGAAAAAACTATAGAAGGGAGAAACATTTAGGAATTGATGTTGGAGAACTGCATATTCAACATATGAGGCCAATTTCAAGATAGCAACAAAAGAAATGAAGGAAGAGTTTGTTCGTGCAGATGAAGACTTCATGAGACAAGTTTAGAACACTTTTGCAAGGCATTTATCAAGTGTGGACAAAACTGCAATTCTATCGAGAACAATTTGAGTGAAACGTTCAACGTGTGTGTATATATAAATATATATGTGTGTGTGTGTGTGTGTGTGTGTGTGTGTGTGTGTGTGCAAAGAAAGGGAATGTCCCATTGTTGATATGCTAGATGGCATAAGGAAAATACTTATGGTGAGGATGTATGAAAAAAACCAATTAATGGTCGATTCAAGAGATGAGATTTGTCCAAGAATCATATTGAAGATTGAAGAGAAAAAAAATGAAGTCTAGGTTTTGCATTCCAAGGCTTCTAGATTCGAAGTTGAAGTAAATGATGACATGTTTATGGTTGATCTGAATAATAAAAGAAAAAAAAGAAAAAAAAGTAAAGAAGGAAAACATACGAAAAGAAAAACAAAAAAATTAATAAAAAAATTCGAAAAAATAGTAAAATATTATTAAAAATTATCAATATCAACGTCGGTCGCGTCACATAGGACACTTGACATCCACATCAGTGATTTTCAGCCAAATTTGGTTAGATGGACTCAATTGACAAAGTATAAAAAGGTTTAAGACTCAATTGACACAATGAAAATATTTAGGACTGAATTGACAAAAGTACGGTAGGTTCATGACTTTTTGGACAATTTTTCCTAAGTGCGAGTGCGAGTGCTTGTATTTTTGTTTTTACCATACGTTAAATTAAAATCGAGCGCTCTCATGACTCTCAAACCTAATATTTCATATGATTTTATCATTTTAATTTACGTAGTGAAAAGGGTAAGGGTTTATCAGTAGAACAATTAGTGAAGTTGTGAAGATGATGAGTAAGGTATGATGATGAGGAACTAACAGGGGTGCTTGGTACTGCCCATACGTAGAGGTATTCAAATCATTCCTCAGAAAGTATCACTATCACCTAACAAGTTATGATGGTCTTATTGTGGATTGAAAATATATTGCATGAGCACTTCAAAAGAGCGTGGTCGTATCAGAATTCGATTAGGGAGAAGGAGGTAAGAGATTATGTAGTGGCAAATTCGCAATAACCGCGGATCCACTCCTTGACTTAAGAGAGAAAGAAAGTCAATGGGGTCAAGATTCAACATCAAGGGCCCCACGTAGATATTGTCCTTCGTCCTTGCCATGTCTTGCTAATCATTCTAAACTAATTAATTATAAATATGGCTAATGCCATATTTATAACCCAACTTAAAAAAAAAAAAGTGATCAAAGGAAAGGGATGAATGAAAACCTGACTCTCTAAAAAAGAAAAGTATTGTATACAAACACAACCGAAATGACATATATCAATTATTATGCATCCCGCGTGATATCATCATATCCAAGCAATGCTAAATATGTTGGACTCGATCTATAAAATTTATGGCAGACTTAGTAGATAGAGCATTTCTACATTAATTACGGTCAACATTATTCATGAATTATGAAATTCTCGTTATTTTATTGACTAGCTTTTTTACGTTCTATTGTCATATGATATAAGTGTAATGAAATATAAATTCTCGACAAAGTAAGGAAGAAAGTATTTCATGCATGAGTTATATGAACACGTAAAGAAAATCTTAGCAAATTTAATTCTTGATTTGTGCTTCGATAAAGCATTTAATAAAGGTTCACCCCTCACAGATCAAGTACAAACAATTTTTAGAACAAAAAAACAAAGGAAAATTCATTTAGTATTTGGGCCGTCTCAATCGATTTCACACTCGCATCTTATCAATTATGGTGAAAGAAAAAGAATCTGAAGAGATTAAAATTCACTCGATAGCGTCGGAGAGAGAGAGAGAGAGGGGTTAAATGTACATAGTGATACTGATATCTAATTCTCTTGCTATCATTTTTAACGCTGTTCTTAAGGGGAGTTTGCATGCAAAATGCTGCTACATTCGACTCTCTATTTCTCCCATTAATAAAGCAAATCATTCTGGCCTCTATGAAAATCTAATGAAAAGGCTAAGCGGGGGCAAAACAAAAACATCAACCATTCTGTGGGATGCAAACACGCGGACCATGTGGTCACGTGTTCCAGGCGGACTATGGCTGACGATGGAGGAAGGAGAAAAGAAAGAGAGAGAAGATAAGGGAAAGGAAACAAAAAACAAAGTCGAAATTAGTGGGGCTCCATTTGGACACGTGGCAACCAACTACTGGACTGGAGCATGAATGTTTTCTCAGGATGGAAGGAAGAATCTCTCCTTTGTTCCAAAACCCCGTAGCCATTAAAGTAGCAATCCTGCTTCCTTTTCGTTTCTTTTTGCTTAGAAAGCATCAATATAAAGGATGAGAACCCATTCAAGGCAAGGGCAGAGAAACACAGACAGACCAATTTCTTCACAAGGAATGGCCGCTGTTTACAACAAGGAGCTCTTGGGTTGGTATTTAATCACTCTCAAGATCCGAGAAACTGTGGAATCTCGACTCCCCAAGAAATCAACCTATGGGGGCAACATCGTCCCCGACTATGAGCCGAGGCCTCCCGAGTCCGAGTGGGTCGTCTCCATCGATGAGAAGCTCGACCAAGGTCGCCAGGAAAACTTGCCAGGCTCGTGGGCAAATCTCTCCATTTACCGGTTTCCGCACTATCTCAAGGATGGCGATGACAAAGACTGGGTCCCCCAGATCGTCTCCCTCGGGCCGTACCACCACGGTAAAGATCACCTCCGCCATATGGAGCGGCACAAGTGGCGCTGCCTCCACCGCATCCTCGAGCGCTCCCATCAGGCAATAGGCCGCTATCTAGAATCGGTGAAGAAGGTGGAGGGCAGAGCTCGCGCCTTCTACGAGGGAACGATAACCATGAGCTCCGATGAGTTCGTGGAGATGATGGTTCTTGACGGGTGCTTTGTGATCGAGATGCTCCGAGGATTCGCCGAGGGGTTCGAGGAACTCGGCTACCCTCGCAATGACCCTGTCTTCTCAATTCGGCGATCGATGCTTGAGATCCAGCGGGACATGATCATGCTCGAGAATCAGATCCCGCTCTTCATACTCGATCGGCTGCTCGGCCTCCAGCTTGGCGGCCCCAACCAGAAGGGGCGCATGGCCAAGCTGGCGATCCAGTTCTTAGACCCTCTGCTGCCGGTTGGACACTTTGACCCGTGCAGCTGCACAAGATCGTACTACGAGCTTAGCAGCCGAAGATTGTACTTCGACCCGTTATGCAACCATGGCAGGGTCCATTGCCTCGAAGTGTTCCGGCGGAGCCTCCTGCAATTAGGCCCGAAGCGGTCCAAGACCAATGAATTGTCGCAGAGCCGGCAACAGCTCACTTTGCTATTGAACGAGCTCCAGGAAGCCGGGATCGAGATCAGGTCGGCACGTCATCGCAGTTGGTCCAAGACCAAGGAATGGTTGCAGAGCCGGCAACAGCTCACTTTCTGCTTGACCGAGCTCCGGGAAGAGGGGATCGAGATCAGGTCGGCATTTCATTGCAGTTGGTGGGACGTCCAGTTCAAGGACGGGATCCTCCGGATCCCCCCGCTTGAGATCCACGAAGGGACGAGGTCGCTCTTCCTCAACTTGATAGCCTTCGAGCAGTCTCAATTCGATTGCAGCAACTGCGTCACCTCGTACGTAATCTTCATGCACAACTTGATCAACTCCCCCGAGGACGTCCGGTACCTCCGTAACCATGGTATCATCAAGCACTGCCTTGGGAGTGACGCCAAGGTCGCTGACCTCTTCAACCGGCTTTGCCAGGAGGTGGCGTTTGACATCGAAGACAGTTATCTCCAAGATCTGTCTTGGGATGTGACAGATTACTACGACCGGGGATTCCTTCCTTTGGCTGGAGAACCTAGAGGCACAGGAAGTGAGATCGCAATGTTTTGCAAGTTCGGTTTCCGTTTTCTCGCCCATCAGCTCGCCCGCAAAGTGGAATTCCTGGAGAGCCATTCTCAAGAACAAGTACTTCGATAATCCCTGGTCAATCATTTCCTTCATTGCTGCTTTCGTATTGCTTGTGCTTACTTTCATACAGGCCCTATATGCAGTCTATGGCTACTACAGAGTGGGTTCTTGATTTCTCATATAGTGGATATTATCTGATGAGTGCTTTAGGAGTGATAAAAGTACAGTGAAAATTTGGGAATTAGGATTGTGAATAATTGACTATAGCAGCCAATTTGCAGATAAATGCTCAAGATGTGGTGGTCTTACCTCCTTGTGAAAAGAATATGTGATGGTGGTCAAACTCAGCCGCATGAACTACGACTTTAGAGTTCAATATGGCAATATGTTTTACGAAACCGTCTCAATTTTCCACTCAATAATCTTTCAAACTGTTCACACCAATAATAATTCAGGTCGTCGACAGTACAACAATATATGCATATTGTTGGGAAAAACTCAATCCCCGATCGTTACGTTCGAAACATATTCGGAACGAATTCGATCAATGCGGAAAACGTGCCCGAGGACCATCAACTTGTATCACCGATCGTACAGGCATATCACACAACGAACATACCCGGTATTGTCACAGATTAAGTGCCGCTTTGCGCTTGAGAGTTCTTCGATCGTCTTTCGTACTCGCGTGTGTTCCGAAGGAAAACAGAGAAGACGTCGTATTCGAAATAGTATGTTTGCATATGGAAAATCACGTTTGTTTTCCAAGGGGTGCCTTTTATTATAGATAGGCAAATAACTACCTCGTGGGCCCTTGTGGCTCACGGGCCGGGTTTGGCCCATCTTGGGCGGTCCACCCATTATGTCTTTCACATATTACGCATAATGTCTAGTAAAATTCATATCCATCGATGAAAAAGTAATATAAGCCTGCCATAGACTTAGTTGTCGAAGTACGATGGCAAATAGCTGATAGCCGCCAATCATGCCAGCGGAAAATTTTGAGTGTTTGAAACTTGAAAAGAGTTAAAGTCGAGGAGGGAATAGTTACCGCCTGAAGATTTTGTCATGGTGGTTATCGACGAAATTGTTGTCGTGCGAGGGTTTAATCGTGGACACGATAGATATGATTACTTGAAGACGTGGGTAATATGAGGCCACAAACACGGGATAATGAAGATGAAATCGATGGTGGTTATTTGACATGGGTCGACAGGTGTCATCAAAAGACGGTTATCACACCTACATTATAAATACCACCCGATAGCCAACAAACCAACCAACCAACCCCCTGTGAAAACACAATAAAAAATGTTGTCTTTTTTAGTTATAAAGCTTTCTGCTCTGTACTTTCAATTTCCTTAGCTATAGATATCTATGTCTTAAGTCTAGTATCAATATAACATGGCATCGATGAAATTCGAGTGTGACGTTACCGGTCAATGGCTAGTTGGGTTTATTTGAATTGGTCATGTTGTTCAAGTTTCTTATAGATCAAGTATTGTTACGACTTGAATTCGCACTGTTTGGTTGAAACAAGTGAGCTTCTTCTTCTCGCGTGGATATCTCTTGTTCGGAGTTCCCACTGAATCCGATCCTTTCTCATTAAAAGTCGAAGAATGACATTTGGTGAATTATATTTCGTCGTAGGAACAATTTCGGCAAAACACAAACTTTTTTTACTTCTATTAAATATTTAAGTTACGTAAAGAATCTAAGATTTTCCCGACGATATTGAGCGAAAGTTCTTAAGCATTTTAAAGAGGTGATAGATATAAAAAAGAAAAGAAATGAAATGATTTCCTATTTATGAGGCAAAAAAGAACCTCTAAAGCCTCTCCTTTTTTGGCGGCAACCGCGGGATCATTACGCACTGCCTTGGAGCGACGCCGAGGTCGCTGACCTCTTCAACCGGCTTTGCCAGGGGGTGGCCTTCGACATCATAGATTGTTATCTCTTTCATCTGTATCTGGATTTGGACATGTATTGCCTCCTTAAAGAGATGTCCTTCAAGGCCGCTCTCGCGAAAAAGTGGAATTCTTGGAGAGCCATTCTCAAGAACAAGTACTTCGACAATCCTTGGTCAATCATTTCCTTCATTGCTGCCTTCGTTTTGCTTGTGCTCACTTTCATACAGGCCCTCTATGCCGTCTATGGCTACTACGGGCCGCGTTCTTAATTCCTCATGTAATGGTGGAAATTATCTGATACGTAATGTCGAACTGGATTGATTTAATTAAATTATGTGGGGGCAATTTTCTTTTGTTCTTTCTTTTATTTTTATTTATATATATTTTGGGCTAATCCCAATCCTCAGGTCAATCATGGATACAGAAGGGCTATATTTTCCCCCTCTCGCAATTAATAAATTCTTAGATTGTGCCTTCAGAGTTTGGAATGACTTTGTGCAGTGCCGCTGCAGCTTGAGATCTAATCTCAGGTTGATGGTATCCTCTCCACTGTTCATAACAAAAAAAGTAATGGATCATGTTTAGAGTCAAAAGCATAGGAACATAGTTATCACATGTGCAATGGACCCAAATGTTTGTAACAAGTAACAGCAAATGACATTAGTGCAATAATGGTGAAGTTGGGTTTATCTAAAAAAAATGAAATGTATTGACTCAACCAAAAATATCCCTCAAAGATGAGATTGATGACCAAGTGGTAAAAGGTTCAAACATCCGACCCAAAATTAAGAAGGAAAAACGATAATTACACCAACCTCAACTTTTTCTTTTCTTTTCTTTTTTTCCATCTTATAAAAAGGCCTCAACGAGTTGAGTTCAAGATTCAGCCCGCAGAGATTATAAGGCAATCAGATCAATATATGAGTTAAGAGCGTTCAAATCATGTGGATATTACTCTCAGGTCGACCAATAATAAAAGCAAACCCATACTGACCTAAGTCGGACATATCAGGTAACGTGCATTCGATTGAGGAGTTTACTTCCCAACCAAGGAATATCTATCATTCCCCCCACCAACTAAAAGTCACATATTATAAATATTTTCTATATATACATATATAGTGACCACCTTCCTTTGGAAGTTCTCTGCCTTGCACAATTTGGTATTTTTATAAGTGCGGAGGGTCGACCATCATGTATAAATCTTCCTACATGAAATTAATCGTAATTCTAAAAAATCTATTTTGTCATTAAAATCCAAAAAATCCTCATTTCGATTGCTCGCAACATGATTCAAATAACTCAAAACTGGTTTGGAGTCGTGTGCTCTATTTTTTTCAGCATGATCTTAATTCGATCTCAACATGAAGGTTTACTACTATTTGAGGCTCCATTCGTTTCATGGAGAACAACTTCCAGGAAAACATTTTTCGGATTTTCCGACATTCGTTTCACGGAAAATAAACTAGTCATGGAAAACATATTCCCTTAATATAAAAAAACACCTTCAAAAGTGAGGAAAATATTTTCCCTCCTCCTTCTTTCACTATTGATTTTAATTATTTTTTATTTTATTTTTTTAATTCTAATTTTTAATTATCTTGTTTATTTTTATTCTTTTTATTTTTCTTGTTCTTTTCGTTTTTTTACCTTCTTCTCCGGCGGGTCGCTGGCCATGCGAAGGCTGGCGACCGGCCACAGGTGAGCTCGAGTATCGCTAGAGGGCGGCGAGACTCAGGCCTTGCCAGATCAGCGACGCTCGAGCTCGCCTGTGGCCGGTCGCCAGCGACCCACCGGAGAAGAAGGTAAAAAAAAAGAAAAGAAAAAGAAAAAAGAAAAAAGAAAAAAACACAATAAAAAATCAATTTTAAAAAATTTAAAATAATTAAAAGTAGTGTATGGAGGAAAATCTGATTTGATTTTTCATACTGAACGGCGGAAAATATTTTCCGGGTCTTTTTTAGATTTCAGCCGAACACTGGAAAATTGTGTCATTTTGCATGTACGTCGTATTTTTCGCGAAACGAACGAATCCTAAGTTTTCATAGATGTTCTTTCAAGGCTTGAATAGCTTCGGTTTTATGAAGACCATGCAAGTCCAATGTCCATATATCGTTGTTGCTATTCCTGATACTTAAGATGTCCTTGGCTGCACTGTCATTGGAGAGTGATGCTGTGCAGAAGAATGATCACCTCTTAGAAAGGCATTTTCTGCAGCCCTTGAATGCTGAGATGCTGATCTACGTGAAGTAGAGATTTCACCAAATCAGGATTACTCCAGCAAATAATACAGGACTCCACAACATTCTGTTAGCGAGGCAACACCATGACTCCTGAATACTTGCATTCTTGAGGTGTTAAAGCAGAAGGATCATAGAATTGTCAGAGAGGTCAATTGTCGCAACAGTTCGGCAGTTTGCCGCAGTTCGGTATCCAATATAGCCTAGTGAACACCTTGCGCGGGACTAGCGATGCGTAGAATCAATTTTCATAAACAATTCACTTAAGCCATAAAAAAGCTATACATGCCTCTAAAATCATGACAAGAAAATGAACCACCACAAAGATTACATGTACAATGTTTTGCAACAGAACCTTCTCTTTAGGAGAGACCCCGGAAGTCCTACTAAATTAGGCATTCCATCGCAGGCAAGACTAATAGATCTGTACAAGTCAGATCCCCATTTTGCTTTCGTCAACTACTATTGTAAATCTTTTCAGGCTCTAACATTCTTTCCAGGATGGAACATCCTTTTCAGAATGGATGATTGAACCATCTTTCCTGGAGTCCTAACTACACAAGCAGATATATGATGTAAAAACATGTTAAACCACCAATAGAGTTCCATGCCAATTAGTGTGACAAATGTTGGATGCCAAGATACCAGTTTAAGTCTGACAAAATACTTGTGAGTTGAAGACAATGGTTAATTAATTGAGTATTAGAGTGGATGCACAAAGTAAAGAAAGTAAGTAGAGTAAAATGTACAAAGAATGAGGATTCAAGTAGGGTGGTACTGCTACCTCAAACTGCATATTGCATCCGTGGTGAATGCAAAGACTTCAAATGGGCCAAAATAGACCTTGTTCCGGAGGAATCAACGTAAGTTTTTCCCCCCAAAGATTTTTCATCAATCATGTATTTGTTGACACTGTTAAAGTCGTTGATAAGAGTGTCAGTGCCATCAGAAAAGTCCACATTCTTCCTTGAAGAAAAATCTCTGTTCCTCATTAACTTATCATGGGAAGAATCCCAAGAAGTATTTTGCTTTGCCCTTTTGCATTCTTTATCTCCTTCAAAGAGCCCAGCATATAGCATACCTTCCAGCAAAGTCGAGGCCTATACAAAATTATTATCGAGAGCTTCAACAATATCCACAATCAACTCGTTGTCAGCCCAAGAATGAAGTTCCCTGAGCTTCTTAAGTTCCGCTGTGCGGCTCTCTTGTACCAAATCCTTACTGGTACCTTGTACATTACTGGAATCATCAGAAAGCAGCTGTTGCTCTTCATTACCATTGTGTGCCAAACCTGGAAAATTTACAGAAGACAGGAGAACTGCCGAGGAAGGCTTCTTATAAGAGTTATTGTTCCCCGCAAGATTTTGACAGGGGTTCGGCGAGCCAATTGCTGTCGATATTGGTGGGAAAGGATCATGTTCAATTTCAGATTCAAGAGCATGTCCTTGTCGATGCTTTAGATCAAAGGCAGCCCAACCAGTAGATTTGCCCCTGCTATGCGAAGTCTTCTTCTGCTGAGAGCTGGTAGATAAATTCATCCTGAGTAGCGCGCACTACCATATAGCAATAATAAGAGGGACATGTTTTGTTATTTCAAAGCAGGGCATTTTGGTCATTTTACTAGAGATATATAAATTTATAAAAGGAATCCTTTGCCTTTGCCATTCGACGGAGCTCCCGCCCAAAAGAAAACTGAAAAAAGTAAGACTCTTTTCTTGAAAATGACGAAGTCCTGGATTCTTCTGGGCGCCGCCAGCCTCTCATCTCACGACCTCTCTCTAGCTTCACCACCGACCGCCAGCCGCCAGCTCCGCTGGTAGCCACCGCCGGCCTTCCATCTCCGATCACGGAAGATGCACAAAAAGCTCAAACCTGGATCCTCTGGATTTCTCTCCCGCCCGAGGCACATTTCCGTTTGTTCTGTTGAGGAAAACTCCTATTAATTTTGAAGTTGACAAAACCTTCTATGTTATTGTAAATCTGATACTTATTCTGAACTATTCCAGTGTCCGTATATTCGGAAGCTCGAAGAAAGTTATTCGAGACTTTACAATCTGTCAAGTATATTTTTGAAGACCCACATAATCGAAGTTCGAGATTCGAAGCGAAGTTATTCGGATGCGGTGGTTATTCGATGCGCAGATGCGACGAAGAAATTATTCAGACGAAGAAATTCGTCGACGCAGAAGAAATTATTCGACGCAGAAATTCTTCGAGACGCAGACGCAGGAGTTCTTCCGATGCGCACGCAGAATATCTTCGAACGTAACGTAACGTAACACAACGCCTAGTGATCTAGCATGGATTTCACTGAAGGAATGTTCGATTGTCTCAATCGAATCAAATTGATTGACAATCAAACATCATGACAAGAATGCATTACAACGGACAAAGTTCTACTTATGGAAACCAAGATTCGATTGTATGGGCAACCGAATCGCCGGATTCGAACCGTCAACCAACGGCTACTCAATCCTTACTATACAAATCTGTCCAAGGTAAAGATTGGAAGATGATCCTCCGAAAGCTGTCCAACGGCTAGTTTGGAAGCGAGAGGAGTATTTAAGGAGATCAACGAGCAGCAGAAGGAAGTACAGAATCAAGAATCAACAAGTCCAAAGTCTGAGCTTAATCCAATCATTTTTCTCTTGTCATTCTGAGCCAAATATTAAGATCTTGAGGAACACTTTGTAAGAGTGATTGTGTGAGATAGAGAGTCCTATCATACACAAGAGTGTTAACACTCAGAAGTTGTAATTCCTCTTGATTACATAGTGAAATCCAGCCAAGAGGTCAGAAGCGTGGGAGAGTGGACGTAGGCTTGCTATAAGCCGAACCACTATAAACTTGTGTGCGCAGATTCTCTATCCCTTATCTCTTACTTTACATTCTGCACATCAAGAGCACAGTCTATATAATCTGTCTTGAATCTGAATTTTATTCAGACTCTTCTGTGATTTATTTTGTTTCCGCATAAATTACTAAAAATTGTTTTAGATCACCTATTCACCCCCCTCTAGGTGATCCTTGCTAGCTACATCAATTGGTATCAGAGCAGGTTGCTCGTTTATTGAAGTG